ATCCCTGTCCCTGCAGGAGACACACACTGCGTGTCCCACATCCCTCCCTGGAGAGGAGCCACGCCGGGAACAGCCGGGATAGGAGCCATCCAGCAGCTGGGATCCCCGGGCAGGGACACGTCTCCCTCCCGCCAGCCCAGTCCCTGAAGCACTGGGGAGACTGGGAGGAGACCCCGAAGGGAAGGGACAGGGGACGTGCCACATGTGCACGATGCACAGGGAAGGGAACAGGGAAGGGAAGGTTGTTCCTGGTGGCTGTGGGGGAGCTGGAGGCTGGGGGACACCTGGGACAGCATTGCCACCATGGGGGCCCTGCTGCCTGTGGGGCTGGGGCTTGGGATGGAGCCTGGAATGGGGCTTGGGATGGGTTTTGGGGATCAGGATGGGGGTCGGGCAGTGCCTGGAGCAAACTGCTCCCAGCCCCAGAGAGATGCTGGTGGCCACAATCTGGCAACCAGGGGGGCAGCCAGGGAGCCCAGGGCCACCACCCCGGCCCCAATAACACTTGGGGGTCCCCCTTCCTCCGAGCCCCGGGAATGGCCCCTGGATCCTCCCAGGCAGGCAGAAGGGGAGGAGAGGCAGCGAGACCCTGAGGGTTGGGGTCCCCCCACATCCTCCCCCTATCCCCCCCGTGCCCCACAGAGCACTTGTGTGTGTTCCCCCCACCTCTGCCCTGCCAAACCCCCTCAGCTGCTTGTCCTGCCCCTTCACATCCAAGGGTCCCCATCCCAGTGCCCCCATTCCACTGCTCCCACCTTGGGGTCCCAATCCCAGTGTCCCCACCCTGGGATCCCTGTCCCCGGGGTCCTACCCCAATGTCCTCATCCCGGGGTCCCCAACCCGGGCTTTCCATCCCAGTGTCCCCATTCCAGGGGTCCCCATCCCAAAGTCTCCACCCTGGGTTTCCCACCCCAGTGTCCCCATCCCGGTGTCCCCATCCCAGGAGCTCCATCCCCGTTCCTGCCCCAGCCGGGCCGTGGTGCCACGCTCACCCCACGGGCGGCCGCGTTTTGGTGGCGGCGGCGGCGGTGGAGCCATTCCCTGGGATGATGAAAACCAGGAGAGTTTTCCCCGGGGCGAAGGAGTTCCCTGCACCCTCCGCCCGGCCGGGCGCTTGGCAGGCTCGCCGGGAGGTGTGGGCACGCCGGGATCGCGGCGCTGCCGGCCCGGTCCCGGCTCTGGAGAGGCACCGAAGCCTTTTCCCGTGGGATTCGGGGCAGGGTGGGCTTCCACCGAGGGTCCCCGCGCGGTTGTGGCCGCCCCCAGCCAGGCCCCGGGGGTTTGGCCGTGGAAATGGGGACACGACGCGCCGGTGATTAAGTGGCTCCACTGGTGTTGTCACCCGGCAGTGCCGGGGTTTCTCGGCAGCCTCGGGGGGGACACGGGGGACGGGGAGGGTTGGACACCCACGGCTGAGCAGGGATGGGGGAGCCCAGCACCTCCCGGGCCCTTTGGGGGTGCCCCAAATCCCCAAATTTGGGTCGTGGTGGGTCCTGCAACGATCATCCCACTCCCCCCTGCCGCGGGTCCAGCTCCGGCCCCAAAACTTGTCCCCTGTGTCCGTCCCCGTCCCATTTATCCCACGGCACAGGGCTGAGCCACAACGGGGGGGCACCGAGCCCCCCACGGGGACAGGTGACACCTCTGGGGGGCAGGAGCAGCGGTCACCTCGGTGCGACACCCCCGGAGTGGGGAGACAGACGGGGCGACCCCGGGAGGGGTGGCAGGAGGAAGGTGGGGCACGTCTGTGTGTCACCCCCGGGCGGGAGGACAGGAGGGGTGCCCGGGGGTCCCGGGGGTGGCGGGGGGGGGGCAGGAGGAGGCGGCCACGGGCGCGGGAGGGAGGCGGTTGTTTCTTTCTTCTTTAATTACCCCCCTGTTTGCGGTGTCTGCTGCGAACTTCCCGTCCCCTCCCTCCGCTTTCATCCGCCGGATCCTGGGACCGGAGCCGGCTCCTGTCAAGCGGCGGGGCTGGGGCTCTGCCTCCAAGGGTTAAAATCACCGGGGCCGGGGGTGGAGCTGGGCGGGGGGGCGGAGGGAAGAGCCGGCGGCCGGGCTGGGACCCGGCCATTCCTGCTCGCCCGGCCCAGTGGGTGCCCCGTCCCTGGGGAGCCGCGCGGGTCCCTCGGGGTCCCCTCGGGAAGCAGCGCCCGCGCCACGCCGATGAGGACGGACCCACCGGGACCTCGCTGCCGCCGCTAGACCCGTAGGTACCCCCGGGACCGCGGGGGATCCCTGACGGGACCTCCCGGGAGGGTCCCGGCTGCCCCTGACCGACGGCTGGGAACGGGCCGCCCGCTCCGGCCCCGGCAAGTCTCTACTCGCCGAAACGCCGCGTCCAGTGGCCACCGAGCCCCGGGGCTGCCGGCCCCGCCACCTCCCCGATGTGTCCCCCCCCCGCTCCAATTTACAGCGCGACGGCCCCTCCCGCGAGGCTGAGACCCCTTCCAGTGGGACTGAGACCCCTTCCCGTGGGATTGAAACCCCTTCCCGTGGGATTGAAACCCCCTCCCGTTGGGCCGAGCCCCCATCGGCCCCGCAGGGGCCCCGCGCCGGTGCCGAGCAGTGGTGGGTGCGCGGGTGAGATGCGGGGGGCTGGACAGGCTGGACCCCCCCCCCGCCGCCACCGTTTCCCTCCAAAAAAAAAAAACCCCGGGGAGTTTCGCTGCGGCTCCGGGACGCGCTGCTGCGGGCTGGGCAGGGAGTGGGGAACCCCGAACCCGCGGCATCCCCCCGAACCCGCGGCATCCCCGCCACCCCGCAGCATCCCCCCGAACCCCCGGCACGCCTCCAAACCCGCGATATCCCCCTCGGAAACCCACCGCCGCCGCCCCCGGCCCATCCATCGGGGCTCCCGGTGCTGGGGGGCAACGGCGCCCGCCCGGCCCCGCCGCGGGGCGAGGCACCGGCGGGGCTGGGAGACGGGCCGGGCCGCCTGTGCCCAGCCCGGGCCGTGACTCACGGGACGCTTCACCCGCCGCTGCCTCAGTTTCCCTGCGGTGAAATGGCCAGCGCGTCGTCGGGCCCCGCCAGGGAGGGAGGGAGGGAGGGAGGGAGGGAGGAAGGACGCTGGGGGCCCCCCTGGGGACTTTTGTCATCCTTCCCGCATGGAAAAATGTCCCGGGAAGGCTCCGCGCGTGGCTGGGGCAGGCCCGTGGCGGGGGGTGCTCCCAGTGCTTTCCCCCTTCCCCATCCCAGTAGTGGTCCTTGTTCGCTGGTGTTGGAGCTGGGAGGGGGGTGGGGAAGGTGGGGATGGTGCGACTGGTCGGGGTGGGGCTGCACTGGGGGGCTTGGGGGGACCCCTGAGCCGAGGGGGACTGCTGGGAGTGGGGCCAGGAGAGCCGTGGAGTGGCCGTGCTGGAGCCGTGTCAAGGGGACCTCCCCGGGACCCCACAGAGGGTCCCCTCCCATCGTGGTTGGGGGGCTGGGAGACATCCCTGCCGTGTCCTCTGTGTCTCCAGACCCGGGGGGGGGGGCCTGTGCCTTCCAGCTGCCACCCCAAAGTCCCGTGACAGGCTGTCACTGTGGGGATTTGTGGGTTTGACCCCAATTTTGCACCCAAAGGGGGCAGAGGGCTGGGGGGCTCAGGACCCCGCTGGGGATTTCTATGGGTGGAAGTGATGGACCCTCTTGGTGCCAACCCTCTTCTGACACCCCCAGGATGGTCCCCAGGGTTGGGGTGGGCAGAGCTGAGCTCCAGCAGGAGAACAGGACCCCAAAAACCTGCTCAGGCTGCCACCCCAGGGGGCTCATCCCAGCGCCAGCTCGAGGCTGAGCCCCCACAGGTGTTGGTAGCACAGGTAGAGATGGGTTCTGTCAGGGGGATTTTGGAACCCCCTCCAATTCCCTCCCAGATCCTTGGGATCCCCCTGCCCTCCTGGGTGACACCTGGCAGGGGAAAACGGTGTCCCCACACAGCTGGGGGGTCTTCCCGGGCAGCCTCCCTGCCCCAGACTCAGTGCTGGGGATCGGGGGGGCTCTGGGGGTCCGGCCCCTTTGTTCGGGGGATCCTCCACCCCAAAGCTTCCAGCACGCTCCGAGTGTCTCCCTGAGGGTCTGTCCCTGTCCCACACGGGCTGGGCGTGTGTGTGTGGGGGATGTGTGTGAAGGGTCGGGGAAACAGCGGGGAGGGGGGGGCTGGGAGAAGGAGATGGTGGCAGGAGGGGTTTTTTGGTGAGGGGGGGTCTCGGCCACCCCTCCCCGCGGCGCCGGTGGGAAGTCGGGGGGCGGGAGCCGGTGGCGGCAGGTGGATTTCGACACCGGGGTGGGGCCCGTCCCCAGTGGGGTTTGCAAAGCTCCCGCTGAGTCACGGCCGCCCTGCCGGGGAGGCAGCGGCCGCCCGGGGGTCTGGGGGTGCAGCGGGTGCCCCGGGGGGTCCCAGAGCCCGCCTTCAAAGGGCTGCCGCGGGCCCTGCCCGGGGCTCCTCCGCCTCATCCCGCTACCAACCAGCCCCCAAAAACGCCCGGGGGCTTCCAGGTGGGATTAGGGCAGGAGCAGGGAGGGGGGTGATGGTTTCCCAGCCCGGCTGAGGGGCGGGAGAGCCAAGGTGGTCTCGTGGGTGCTGTCGGGACATGGGCTTGGGGACGCCACTCACGTCCCCTTGGGTGCTGGGGGACACGGCCTGGGGGGTGACAAGGCAGGGGCTGCCGGTTTCCTTGGATTTTGGAATTAGCCACCGACCGCTCTGGGCCGTGACCCACCGTCACCACCAAGGGGTGGCGCGGGGTCCATAAGGGACGGGTGTTAAGGGATGGCTCCCCCCAGGCCGGTGCCACCATCCTGGTGTCACATCGGGCTGCAGAGCAGCGAACCCCCCTCGGTTTGGTGACCCCCAAAAGGCGGGTGACGGGCACGGGAGACGCTGCCGGTGCGCGGAGGGGCGGGGAGGGGGGGTTGCGGAGATTTGTCCCCCCCTCTTCTCACACCTCTTCTTCCCCCCCCCTCCCCTCCCCGCCCACCCCTCCTCGGCCCCGCAGGTCTGTGCGCGCCGCCGCCCCGCGATGCTGACGGCGGTCTGCGGCTCCCTGGGATCCCAGCCCTCGGACGCGCCCCGCGCCTCCCCGACCCACCTGGACCTGCAGCCGCTCCAGCCCTTCCAGCCGCACGCCCCCGCCGCCCCGGGAGCCCCCGACTTCGCCTCCCCGCTGCCCCCCCCGGAGCTGCCGCTGCCGGGGCCCGACGACTCCGCCTTCGCCGCCCCCGGCGCCTACGAGCCCCATGGCCCCCCGAGGTTAGAGCTGCCCCCCGACGGCCCCGCCGCCCCCGGCGCCTACGCCAAGCTGCTGCCGGCCCCCCCGGACATGGCGCACCCCTACGAGCCCTGGTTTCGGCCCCCCCACCCCGGCGCCCCCGGCGAGGAAGGAGGGGGCGTCAACTGGTGGGACCTCCACGCCGGGGCCAGCTGGATGGAGCTGCCCCCCGGGCAGGGCGGGGGGCTGCAGGTGCCCGCGCACCCCGGGCTGCCGCCGGCCCTGGGGGGGTACGGCCCCGGGGGGGAGCACCAGCTCTGCGCGCCCCCCGCCCACCTCCTGCCGCCGCCGGCGCAGCATCTCCTGGGCGCCGAGGGGGCGAAGGCGCTGGAGGGTCCCCCGGAGCCGCGGGGGCCGGAGGCGGAGGGCGGGGGGCGTCCCAAAGGCGCCCGGCGGGCCGTGCCCAGGGGCGGGGGGCAGGCGGCGTGTCGCTGCCCCAACTGCCAGGAGGCCGAGAGGGGCGGCCCGTGCCCCGAGGGGGCGAAGCGCAAGCACCTGCACAACTGCCACATTCCGGGCTGCGGGAAGGCGTACGCCAAGACCTCCCACCTGAAAGCCCACCTGCGCTGGCACAGCGGCGACCGGCCCTTCGTGTGCAACTGGCTCTTCTGCGGCAAGCGCTTCACCCGCTCCGACGAGCTCCAGCGGCACCTCCAGACCCACACCGGCGCCAAGAAGTTCGCCTGCCCCGTCTGCGGCCGCGTCTTCATGCGCAGCGACCACCTGGGCAAGCACATGAAGACCCACGACGGGGGCAAGGACGGGGCCGAGCCCGAGGGGAAGGGCGCCGGGGACCCGTCGGCCGCCAAGGGAGGAGGCAAGAGGGAGCCCGAGGGGGGCAACGCCGCCGCCCCCACAAACTGAGCCGCTGAGCCCCGGGGGGGGGACACACACACGGATGGAGGCGGGGAGGACCGGGGGGACCCTTCGGGGCCGGTCTCCGAAGGGATTTGGGGTGTGTGTGAGGGGGGGTGGGCGCAGGGCTGGCCCCTTGTGCCGCGGGTGGTGGCGAGGAGGGGGGGACAAGGCTGGTGGCACAGCCCCGGCCCCGCTGCGGCGTTTGGGGAGCGCCGGAGCCGGAGCTGCCCCGAGGCGGTTTCACTTGTCCCGCTCCCGCTCTCCCGCCCCGGTTCTTCTCTCTCTCCCCCCCCATCCTCCCCCGGCTTCCCAAATCTTTTTTTTCGGGAGGCTGCTGGCAGGCGGCGGGGCTGTTTGGGAGGAACATCAATGGGAGCCGAAGGAGCAGGCGCTGCCCGGGCACGTCCAGCCCAAAGGGGAGGAAGGAGAAGGAGAAAGGGAGAGAGGAGAAACCCGGGAGCCGCCGCTCGGGGAGGGCGGCCGCAGCCCCCCGGCCCCCTCCCCGCGGTCCCCTCCAAACTGTGGCACCGCGGGCTCAGCCCCCCCCTCCCGCCCCGTGCCAGCCCCTTTCCTGATCACCCCACGAGTTTTTGGCACGTGGGGGACACTCGGGGCGGGTCGGGGGCTGCCCACAGCCCCCCTCCCCGGCTGGGGATGCTGGGCCGGGGGGTGGTCCCGCACCCCGGGAAGCCCCTCCTGGGCCAGGAGCTTGAGGATGTGAAGCCCTTTTTTTTTTTTTGCTGTTGTTTTGGCCCGAACGGAGGCTAAAACGGGTAAAACAGAGAAGTCCTGCGTGAATGTGAGCCGCGGGGAGCTCGGGGGGCTGCGGGGGCCGCGGGGCGCGTGGCGGGGCCGTTGCCCAAGCGCACACCCGCAGCTTTCCCACACCCACCGCCGCGGCCCCGGGCGGGAAGCACCGGGGCGGCCGCGGGCCCGGGAGAGCCGGGGCGGCCGCATTCCTCCGGCCTGGCACGGCCGCGCTGCCCCGCGCCCCCCGCCCGCCCCCCCGGGCACCGCGGGGCCGGCCCTGCCCGCGGACCCCGGGACTGGGGGGGCCGAGCTGCCTGTCCCCCACCCCTTGCCGTCCCTTCCCGGGGACCGCAGCCACCCCCCTGTGCGTGCTGCAGGTCCCTCGGGGACCCCACAGCCCAGGGGACCCCCGCTGTCCCCCCCCCCCCGTGCATGCTGCCTGTCCCCCCGTGGCCCCGTAGCCGTCCCCCCCCGGGGGTCCCGTATCTCCAGGGAATCTCTGCCTGGCCCCCCCCCCGTGCATGCTGCCTGTCCCCCCGGGGACCCCAGAGCTGTCCCTTCCCGGGTCACCGTATCTCCCGCCGGGCATCCCCCAGCAGGGACCCCGTATTTTTTCTCCTCCCCGGGGTCGACGCCCTGTCCCCAGGGGGGCCCGTGTCTGTCCTGCACCCCTGGCTGGGGGTCCACGCAACTCGGTTTTTAGACCTTCGTGTCTTACACACGATTTTGGCAGAACCCCTTGGACACAGAGGGAGACGCTGAACCCGGGAACTGAGGGGGCGTTTGGGGGGGGGGGGGGAAGCGCTGGGGTGGGGTGGGAGGGGGGAACGGGGGCACCCGGGGGTCCTCCCCGGCTCTGCCTCCCAGCCAACACCAGTTCACACCAGTTGGGAGTCTGGGGAGGGGGGGAAGTTTGGTGGGAGCTGATCTCCCGGCATGGCCCCATCCTGGGGGCTCCGGGGGGGCCGTGTCGGGGGCTGCCCGGGCTCGGAGCCCCCCGGGGTCTGGGGGGAAGGGGTAGAGGTGAAGTCGAGTGGGGTCCGTGCCCAGAGGGCGCCCCAAGACCTTCGGGTTTGATTGTTTTATTATTATTATTATTATTATTATTAATTATTATTATTATTAATTATTATTATTATTTTATTAAGGTGAAGCCAGGCTTTGCCACTCGGGCAGAGGGAACGTCCCGGGCCGTGGGCTGTGGGGATGGGGAGGAGGGGGGTCGGACCCCTCAGAGGGTCCCATCCCTGTCCCCATCCCTGTCCCTGCCCCCATGGATGTGGGGGGGGCTGGCAGCGGCCCCCCCCGCGCCGTGGGGCAGGGACGAGCCGTGGGGCTGGAGCCCCCCAGCACGAGGTGAAGTCTCGCTGGGGGGGGGTCTGCGAGGACGTGTCCCCAGCCCTGGCACGGCCACCACTGTCCCCCTGCAGGACTCGGGTGACCTGGGCTGCCCGCAGCTCTCGAAGGACGTCCCCGACTCCGGCATTTGCCTTTTCCAGCACAAAATTCCCCCGCGGTGCCCCCTAGGTGGGATTTCCCTCCCCGGGGGGTCTCAGGACCCTCCCCAAAGTGCCACAGTGCTGCACTTGTGGGGTTTTAGTGGCTCCGGCAGTACTTGGGGGGGGGTCTGGCCTGTTGGGGACC